ACTTATACTTACTTCTAAGCTTTTAATGATGGCGGAGTTATAATCGACAGTCTTTCGCATAACGGATTTCCTCAGCCTCTTGCCGTCAAATTCATCTTGCAGAGTCTCTTGTCCTCCAGTAACAATTTTTGGAGCATGATAAGGTCTAAATGGTTTAAAGAAACCGCGATTGCCTTCTCTATGATTTGTATATCGATGCTGATAACTTCCAGATGTGTTTATAGTGGTTAAATTTGGTGGTGGCGCTGACAAATTCGGAGTTGTAGGTGGTGGCACAGACATGTTGGGTAGGCTTACGGCCGGCGGCGGATTCGCAAATTGAATGTTTCCAGACATTATGAGAGGATATAAATATAGGCAATTAATTCAAATTACACGTTCTCCAGCTTATCTGGACAATAGACGTCAGATATTTTTCATGGCAGTAGCAATCCTATGATCCATCGATAGATCCATTCTAATGAAGAACTCTGTAAAAAATATAAAAAATATATTAATCTTTATATAAAATAAACTATAATTTGAAAATTCCAAAACAGTATGTTAAGTCAAATAAGAAATTACGTTTATTTGTAAATTTAATTATATTATGCTATTTAAAGATTCTTATATTTCTCTTTTAAGCATAATAAATAAAATCATGTAGTTGACAACTCAATTAAATTTTTTTACAATTGATTTTATATAAATTGATTTTATAAGTATCTAAATAAAATAAAATTAAAATAATATTAATATAATTGTACATATATTCTTCATTATTTTTATTGTTTATTAAAATACTTCAATTTAGCTTAATTTTTATTTATAATATATAATTTCTGCGGAAAAAGATGCTTTAAAGAGAAATCTACAGCAATCTTTTCTCATGAGTTACGTAGTTGACTCAATTATAAAAATTAGATTCATATTTTAACTGAACAAAAAGAAATTGAAGAAAAAGAATTTATACATATAAATATATATAAATTCTTTTTGTTCAATTATAATTATAAATAAAAAAATCAATTGACTCAAGGAAGGATATATTCAAAGAGAGACAAAAATGATATGTACACGTCACGTTACTCCATGTAGCACACAAGATGAGCACGACGTTGTAGTACACACATACGATAGTGAAATGTACGATTCCGAAAATTCTCAATTCATGATTGATCGGTTAAAGTTGACAATCGGAATTACCGCGTTGAATTGACGAACATTTCGGAACTCAGATTCACGTTCTCTCCGTTGACGATGTGGTTCTGCACGAGAACGTACACAACCACCAGTTCCGCCACGCTTTCACAGAGCGCCTTGTATTGAGAAGCTCTCAGGCTTCGTTTACGGATAGACACGATCGACCCTGGACTATAGAGAAAAAGTTCTTGATGAAAACGATGAAAGTTAAAACTGAGCCAGTCGTTTCAATGTCCAATTCGCGACGTAACAGACGAACCGCGAGAATATCGTGCCCTCGTCGCGGACGCCATTACTCTTTCTTGGGCGATGACATCCGCTTTGGCAGTCGGCTGTGGCCGCCACTTCCGCCGGCATGACTTCCGCCTTTATGGCTATAAAAGAAACTATAGATTTTTGGTTGGTATTTACACTATTAACTGTGCTCCAAAATTTCACTGCTAGTGTTGAAATTGTTGATAATGTATAAGAGCATGTTCACACCTTGACAAAAAAAAAAAAAACAGAAAACGGAAAAACAGCAGCTGAGAACTCGCGCCGATAGTCTACAATTTCGGGTGCGATCCACTTCACGCTGTAAATGCTTTGAAGCATTCTTTGATTGGTCAATTCGTAAAATTCGTTCTTCTGATTGGTCAACAAATATTTGCAGCGTTAAGATGCCTTTTCATGCTGACGCTCAACGCTCATTTTCAACGTCAAAATAAGTCACGTGATCGAAATTGACGCTTGATATTCATCAATTTCTATTACGTGACTCATTTTGACGCCGAAAATAAACGTCGAGCATCAGCAGGTTTGTCGCGTCGCATGCTCCAACACTTCTATTCATTCCAATGCGCTCATTAGAGTGAATAAGAAAACTAGGAGCGTGTTGGAGCATGTTGAAGCATGCGGATAAACTTAGAATGAAAAGGCACCTTTACGCCACGTTTGCAGCCAATGGCGATCGCGCCGACTTAGAGGCTACGCAAAATGAAAGAAATAAGGAACAGCGAACAGAGAATAAAAATTTCAACTTATCAGAAACTGTGTATTCCACAATACATGATTTCTGATAGGTTAAAATTCTTATTCCCTGTTCCTTGTTTCCTGTGCGCAACTCCTCTTGGATTTGCCTTGTCATTGGTTGTTAACATTCCTTCTACTCGACTTTTGTATGACTCAACATTTCAATTATACGTATCAACGTACCACTACATACATTTATCACACTACTACAAACAAGGCACAAATATAACGATTTTGGTAGTCGGAACGCGGAACGTTTCTGACTATATGTTCTGTTTGTTCTTCTCTGCACGTTTTCACACGTTTCGCGTGATTTGAAAGAAAGAAGTAATATTATTATTAGGCATGGCGGTAAGATTTATTATTTAATTATGTATTTGCCATAAATACGTTTGTTTAGAGGAAAAAAGATTTATTTTTTCTTATAATCTCTTTGAAGTTTTATTACATCAAGAATTATATCCACGCCGATTAATCTGTATCTCTTTTAATATATATAGTTTTATTATACTTCGTACTGTATATATATATATATATTGTTTGTATTATTTTTGTATAAAAGGATTATATTGCTTTCATAAAGAAACGCAATATTATAAATTTACTAATATTATTTTATGCCTTATTGGTTGGCATAGCAACTAAATGTTTGATCCATTTTATTGCAATTGAATCGTAATACATAGATATTAAGGTATCCAATTATTTTTTATTTCAGATTAATACTAACGTACAAGAAGTACGTGAGGTCACCAGGATAGAGCGTATTGGTGCTCATTCTCATATTAGAGGTTTAGGACTGAATGATAGTTTAGAGCCCCGCAATGTAAATATTCTGTTGTTTTTTTTTTGCAAAGATTTGATATTTTTACAATCTAATAAAAATTAACATTTGTTGTTACTGTATTAGGTTTCTCAAGGCATGGTTGGACAGCTCAAGGCACGTCGAGGTGCTGGCGTTGTTCTCGAAATGATTAAGGAAAGTAAAATAGCAGGTCGTGCAATTTTATTGGCTGGACAACCTGGCACGGGGAAAACAGCCATTGCTATGGGAATGGCGCAAACTTTAGGCCTAGATACTCCTTTCACATCAATGGCTGGTTCTGAAATTTATTCTTTAGAGATGAGTAAAACAGAGGCCCTAACTCAAGCTATTAGAAAGTCTATTGGAGTCAGAATTAAGGAGGAGACAGAAATCATAGAGGGTGAAGTAGTGGAGATTCAAGTTGATAGACCAGCAACTGGAATTGGAGTAAAAGTTGGCAAGTTGACATTAAAAACAACTGAGATGGAAACAATTTACGATTTAGGAAATAAAATGATTGATTGCTTAATGAAAGAAAAAGTTAGTATATATGTTTATTAAATAGATTATATCTTGTTTGTATTACGACTTTTTATTCGTCTTCAGGTACAAGCTGGTGATGTTATAACGATTGACAAAGCCACGGGGAAGATCAATAGACTTGGACGATCCTTTACTAGAGCTCGAGATTATGACGCGACAGGTTCGCAAACGCGTTTTGTACAATGTCCAGAAGGCGAATTACAGAAACGCAAAGAAGTCGTGCATACTGTGACATTACATGAAGTTGATGTGATAAACAGTAGAACTCATGGCTTTTTAGCACTATTCTCTGGAGATACTGGAGAAATAAAATCTGAAGTGCGAGATCAAATAAACGCTAAAGTCGCAGAATGGAGGGAAGAAGGGAAGGCAGAAATAGTTCCGGGTGTACTTTTTATCGATGAAGTACATATGTTAGATATCGAATGTTTCTCATTTCTGAATCGAGCATTGGAGAATGAAATGGCTCCAGTTGTAATTATGGCAACAAATAGAGGTATGCGCGAATAATCAACTATATTAATATTAAATCATTGTTATTTAACAATCTATAATTACGTAGGTATTACAAGAATTAGAGGAACAAATTATACGAGCCCTCATGGCATTCCGATTGACTTATTGGATCGTGCGATTATTGTTCAAACGAGTCCGTATCAAGAGAAAGAGTTGAAGGAAATCTTGAAAATAAGATGCGAAGAGGAGGATTGCGAAATGACCGACGATGCTCTGACCGTGTTAACTAGAATCGCTTCGGAAACATCGCTAAGATACGCGATACAGTTAATTACGACGGCTTCTCTTGTAAGCCGTCGAAGAAAAACTACAGAAGTAAGTAGGATAGGCGATACAATTTATTGCATGAATATATTCGATATTATTATAATTATGTTATTATAATGTTTTAAATAATAGGTCGGTATTGATGATGTGAAACGTGTCTATTCTTTATTTCTTGATGAAAATAGATCAACGCAATTTCTCAGGGAATATCAAGATGATTTTATGTTCAATGAATTCTGTAAGTTATACAGTTATCATATTTATATAATATGTATACTTAATGTAACTAAAATTTAAATATTTTTTTTAACTGTTTCAGCTGCTTCAGCTGGAGATAACATGGACGTTTTATAATACATTATTATATAAAACATCATTACAATAAATTTTTTAGTAAGTTATAAAACTACAAAAAATAGAATAAAATTTTTTTAATACAGCAATAATTGAAATATAAATGTATTCTTCTATAATGATGCATTATCACAAATATTATTTTTAGTTAATTATATATTAACATATTTATAACAAAATAAATGTTTCGCATTATCCTCTATTTCTTAAACAAACATTTAAAACATCTTAAGTCATAATCGATAAGATAGATATGTAAACAACATATACATGTACATACAATATGTAATTGCCTAGTTTTGATTTAATATCTTATAGATAATACATATTTTCGATGATAAAATAATTAAAGATTAACATTTATTTGGAGGTCCATTTTTTTGGTGTATAGAGCTTAATTAGATAACTTAACAATAACAGATGCATAAGTAAGTGTGATTAATAACAAAACAGGTTTCCAACGTTCTCTGAAGATGCGATCCAACGAATATTACTTGACATAATTTAGAATATTTACATTAGATCTTCTTTTCTTGTACTTTGCTGACTAGAAAAAGAATAAATAAATTAATGTTAATAATTACTTATATAATTACAATAATGTAGAAAATCGCTTATATGAATTATATAACAAATTTATTTTCGTACAACCGTGCGCGTTATTTACGTATAATAATTTACGAGTAAAAAGTATATACATATATTTTACAATTTAGCTCACACATATATCTGCATCCGTGTCGCGATCCATTGATATAGATAAGAAAAAGAGAAAGTTATGAAAAGAGTTCATCGGAAAAACAAGATCTCGTAATTTTTTATTTAAGCTATACTTTTTGTACATACTTGTAATCAATTTTATGCCACCTTCTGGTTTGAATGACGATAATTGGGCCTTCTTATCTTTCGATACGAAACCTAAGCCATAGCCCACTTTGTATACAGGCAATGGAATTACCGTGGATGAAACGGGTACCATTACTGAAAGAAAAAAATATTAAATTGTCAATCATTAAATATTTATAGTGTATACGTATAGTCGGCTGATTTAGTAGGTCACTATATACATCAATACTCGATAACGTAACTTGTACAATTATTTTATATTAATTACCAATAATCGGTATAAGATATTCATAAACCAAATATATATATATATATAT